TGTCTCATTACTAATAATTGATCATTCCTTGCCTTTTAGGTAGTGTTTTTCAGGATCCTTAAACTTATATAGGAGACACATTTCATCCACCACTGAAGAGCAACATCAATCTGTATGATGTGTAGCTGCCATTATGCATTAGCAACCTCAGGAAATTGCTTCACCAGTTAAATTGAGAGGGATTTGTAAATTGGCCAGATTGTCTGAATCAAGAGCAGAATCAATGCAGGACACCACCAATCTTACAATCAGTGCCATGGGATCTCTGATATCAAAAACAATCAAAACCCCAGTTTAACATCTCATCTGAAGAAAGGCCTCTCCCAAAGCACATTGTGCCCTGTGCTGCTGCTGGCATTCGTTTGAAAGTCTGGTCAAGAGGCAAGAGCGCCATCTACTGGGCCTTCAACACCACTTACAACAGCAACCTAGTTCTCTTCAGAGGTCTCCCAACCCAGTACGAAGAACAAAAATAACCAGCCATACTGCTGAAAATGAACCCTTGAGCTCCTTAAGAGAGTACAGTAGAGGAGTTACTTACCATATGTACATGTACAATTAAATACTTATTTGCACTGATCTCTTGGGACATAGTACAACAGACAACACCACATAATGTAGACAGTACATTACGACATAATAAATCATAACAGAACAATAGTAGTAAGTAGTAGTAGAACAGGAAAAAAAACATGGTAGACCATGCAAAACATGTATGGTGCAGATAAGCGTGGGGGCTGAGGCACTGCAGTTAACTGTTAAGGATGCGTACTGCAGTGGGATAGAAGCTGTTCTTGAGCCTAGTGGTCCGTGCTTTGATAGTATGGCACTGCTTGCCAGAGTGCAGGGAGGAGAACAGTTTGTGGCTGGGATGGTTGGGATCCTGAATCATGGATTGGCCTTTATTGTGACAGCGCATGGTGTGAATCTCACCGATGGATGGTAAATAACATCCTATAATCCTCTGTGTCGTTGCCACAGCCCTTTGTAGTTCATCTTTGTCATGCCTGGTAGTATTGCTGTACCACACAGTGACACACTAGTGAGGACACTTTCTAAGGTGCTGCGGTAAAGGTTCACGAGTAGCTGAGATTCTTGGATCAGCACCTGCCCAAACAAACAAGACAGGCCACATTTGCTCTTGTGTTTGCAGTCTAATATGCCTGTATGTGTGTCCGCAGCCGCAGCGTGAAGTGGGAGAGAGGAGAGTCGTACCTCGTCCTCAGACATCAGACAGCAGGAGAAGGGCACAGAGCAGCGCTCCCGGCTGGGGTTCTCAGGGGTGCAGTTGAAGTACAGGTTCTGGGACCAGTCCTTGTATGAAACCGCACCACAGCAGCTGAACTGAAGAGGCACAGACAACAGAACACCGAACAGCTAAGCTGCATGATAGTCCAGTACTCAACAATACAAGTTTACGATGAGCACGAGACAACTTGACTTTCACATTCAAGAACAGCGTGGCTCACATGGTACACGCTACTTAATAACTTCCAAACACATTCGTACCTGTTCAAGCAGTGGCCCCATCCTTAATATGCTTTTACACTTCCATTCAAAACTCTAAGAATTTGTACTAATCCATATGGATTCCAATAATATGGAAGTATTCATCAGCTTGGTAAATTTCCCAGGTACAAAAAAATTTGCTCAGTCCTTGAGACTCCGATTGTCACAAGGATTGTCAATTTATGTTCATGGGATACCATGATTCTGGATTGCTTGTGTTCACAGCTAATGCAAGAGTAGATCAATTCTGATTCATGGTATTCACTGTATAGAGAATCAGACCATGGTACAGTGGCCTGATTCTTCATTTACAGTTAAGGTAATCCTATGTGTGTATTATTAGAATCTGTAACAACAAAAGAAGTCAGAAAGCACACTAATGGAATAACAATGCACTATTAATGTGCAGGGGCAGCGGCTGTTGTCTGTTGGCTCATCACTTTAAAGATGGGTGCAAATGCCACAAAATCAAACGTAGTTCCATTCAATTATAGGACTTGTCCTAGTGGGCCGAACCAAAGCACAGGAAGGACAGTACTGCATGGTACCAGTGCTAACACTATTGTTTTGGTTGGTGTCCTTTCAAAATCAGAAAAT